GGGTGAAAAAATTTCAAATTAACTTTTTTTCGCCACATTGACCCTCTCGCATGTTAATTTGTAGCATCTTTCAGCTGGCTTTAGGTAACTCTTGAATGTAGAAGCAGGAACCACGAAGTAAAACGCTCTGCAAAGAGTCAAAGCTACTGTTTTCCTACTCTGATAAGAACAGCAACTATCGCGCGCTGTATCATCGATCGATTGATTAATGGCTTTGAGAACTATGTTCGTACTAGCTAATAATTCTCTCATAGGTTCGTACTTATAATTCTTACTTTTTCTCAAAGATTTCTTTACTAAAAGTGCTCCTGCTTGGCTTAACATAAAGGAAACGACGCAAACTTCAATATGGGCGTCTCGTAATTTTTGTTTACGTTGAGAAGATGCATTTTCTACATTTTGTGATCCACGGAGCGCACTCGATACTTACCTCATAATGGGCTTATACTATTTTGCGAAACGAAACGAAATTTTGCGAAATGGCGTTTTTTCGCCTTTATTTAGCAAATGTGTCTTCTTCGTCCGAAAAAAAATGTGTCCACTCATAAAATGATCAATATTTCTAAGAGCCTGGTTAGCTCATTTTATTGACCATAATAGAACTCGTTTCGCAAAGTAGTAATTTTGACAGAATCACTATTTTGCGAAATGGCATTCTTTCACCTTTATTTAGCAAATATGCCCTCTTCGTCCGAAAAAAAAAAAATGTGTCCAATAATAAAATGATCAATATTTCTAAGAGCCTGGTCACCTCTCATTTTATTGACCATAATAGAACTCGTTTCGCAAATTAGTAATTTTGACAGAATTACTATTTTACGAAATGGCGTTTTTTCACCCACATTTAGCAAATATGTCCTCTTCGCCCGAAAGAAAATGAAAGACAACTACTTATTCTTGTTCTCAATTGCCCTTTTTTGGCTCGGAGTTCACTCTTTATTGTTGTTATAATTCTCTTCTCTATTCTGCTCTGTATTCCTTCTATTTTGTTCTGTTCTATTTATGGTTGCCGCAACTCGATTTTATAGTTGACCAACAACCCACATGCCTGACTGGCAAGCCGATCCACTTGATTTGTTTTAACGTTTTTTTGTTTGGCCACAACAATTTCCTCTCCAAAATGTCTTTCCCAAGCCTAGGTAGTACGGTCAATGTAAAACGAGGTGAGCGAAATAACAAACCGTCACAAAGCATCATCTGGCACAAGAATTCATTAAAGAATACTTGGGAGATCATTGCGATTTGGGATTGGTTCCAGAACAAAATGTCTTTAACCATTCAATATGCGACTCTTGTGCTGCAAACGTGTTTGCTGTGGTGTCTTTTCCATGGCGCAGACCAAATGAAACATCTTTTACAAAATCGGAAGTTTAAAGCTTCGCAATTAATTTGGTGAAATCTGCTGCTTTTTGTGGCACTGTGCTTCCTGAGAGCGATTTGGGATTTTACAAGCCTGATTGTATACTTGTTCCTGTTGCGGGAATGTTAGAGGTGACCAGGCTCTGAGAAATATTGATCATTTTATTAGTGGACACATTTTGTTTCGGACGAAGAGGACATATTTGCTAAATAAAGGTGAAAAAACTCTATTTCGCAAAATAGTAATTCTGGCAAAATTACTACTTTGCGAAACGCGTTCTATTATGGTCAATAAAATGGGAGGTGACCAGGCTCTTAGAAATACTTGATAATTATATTAGTGGACACATTTTGTTTCGGACGAAGAGGACATATTTGCTAAATAAAGGTGAAAAAACGCCATTTTGCAAAATAGTAATTCTGGCAAAATTACTACTTTGCAAAACAAGTTCTATTAAAAATTTGACTGCCTTGTTTTTGAAATGTTTTTATCAAAGAACTGAAACCAACGCTAAACAAACAGTGCGATTCAATTCGCGCCAAACTATTTGTTTAGAACGATTCGTGCTACGATTATTTTATTCTTTTATTCTCTTCCATTGTATATTGTTTACACTTTTTCACATATTTTAGCGTTCGCCACATTTTATCGTCTTCAACTTGCTTCAACATATTTATGCTGATTTGGAAAACTTATTTGAAAATGACCTCAGAGAAGTCGAAACGTCGTGACCTCTCAGCGCTAGCTTTTACTTCAAAGTCGATTTCTAAGAAACTACTTATTAAGAATTCTATTATGGTCAATAAAATGAGAGGTGACCAGGCTCTTAGAAATATTGATCATTTTATTACACCT